CCATGCTTCCTTCAAGGGACATTGACCCCACAGCAGGATTGGCCTCAGCCGCCTGTCAGAGGGCTCTTCACATGAGACCAAGGTCTGTTCTGCTTTTATTTTATCTATTTCCTTTTGATGAATTCTCTGAGGCCTTTCTCTAGTCCGTTTGAATCTTGAGCTTGTGACCCACCTGCCTACTGCCCAGCTCCAGGGACAAGAGGACCAAGGGACCTAGGGAGAGGCCGCTCCTCCCACAGTCTCTGCGGGGCCTCAGCAGGGTCTGGCTTCTTCACGAGCCTAGCCATGAGGTTTCTTCCCAATGGCTCCTCTCTGTGTTCCTCTCCTGACTCCCCCAGGACCCCCTTGCTGGGGATTCCTGTGCTGTTTCTGATCTGTGAACTGGGGGTGAGGGACAGCATGCTCTACACCTGTGCTGTCCAATAAGGTGGCCACTGGTCATGGGCAGATATTCAAATTTGAATTAATAAAAGAGGATGAAATTTAAAAGTCCCACAGCCACTCGGGCTGCATTTCAAGTGCTCGGTATCCACCTGCAGCTGTGGCTTCTGCAGGGGGACTGTGTAGGCTTAGAGAGTGTCCATCATTACAGGAAGTCCTTTCTGACAGCACCATCAGTGGTTCTCAAACTCAGAACCACCTGGAAGACTTGATCAAGCACCTGAGCAAGGTGCTTCTACACGAGATTTTTACCTCCATGGTCTGGGGAAGAGTGGGAGGGTTTTTATCTCTAACAATTCTCTAGGTGCTACTAAGTGTGGCTGGGCCCGGGACCACACTTTGAGAACAATTGCTCTTCACCTTTCAATGGGAGAGCCCACTGAGAAAACTCCATGTGCTGATCTGGGGCTGAGGTGGTAAATAGCCTCTGGAGGACACAGCTCCCTCAGCTTGGCTTGGAGAAGGAGCCTGAAGTCAGCTTTCTAATGAGGAAACAACTTACACCCCACAATTCGCAGCCCTTCCCGACACAAACAAACAAGCAACCCTAACAGAATAGTCCTGCACCCCCATGAGTTGCCTGGGCTTCATTTCCACTTGGCTGTAACTTCTGAGAGGAAGCAACTTCAGTCCCAACCCCAGTCACTGTCCTCCTAGGATGAAAACAGTGAGGAGTACACTCCAATGACATTGGCTTAGTTTTTTTCTGCTGCTATAACAAAACACTGGAGGCTGAGTCCTTTAGAGAAAAGGTGTTTTAAGGGTATGGTGCTAGCATCATAATGGATAAATGAGGTAAATGGAGAGACAGGAAGCAAGAAGGTTGGGAGGGCCGGGCTTACTCTCTTCCTAGCAGCCTGTTCTCATGGGAGGGAATCACTCCTACCAGGCCTGACCCACTTCATGAGATCAGCATGGGTCCTTCCAGGGCTGCTCGTGACCCATCACCTCCCACCGGGCCCCACCTCTTAATGGTTTCACCACCTCTTGACCTCACCACACTGGGGATCAAGCTTCCAGCACAACGACCTTTGGGGAGATGTTCCAATTAAGATATGGGCCCCACCTGGAACTCTCCGGTATCTGCTGGTACCAGGTACCTTCTCTTCTGGAGAGGCTTGGAGGGACAGAGGAAAGAGCACTGGATTTAGAGTTACAAGATTTGGACTCATCACTGTGTGCCTTTGGGCATTGCTCCTCTGAGTTCAATTTCTATAGAGGTTGTAATAGTCATGTTAGTCACTTTATAAAGTCACCTTATGCTCAAATGATGTCATATGTGAATACTGTTTGTGGATCACAGAGTACTATCCAAACCTCCCACTAGGTTCAATCTCCGACACCAAAAGACAAAAACAAAATCCCAAACTCAGGTCCTGTAGCTTGGTGTGTGACTATTATTGCTCAGGCTACATTTGGTCAGAGTTACTTGTTGTGCATTTTTGCATCTCTGCAAGGCCTGAACATGCCCGTCTTATTCGTCTATTAATATTTGAGCCCCTAGTGCTTGATTTGAGGTTCAGCAAATAGGGATAAAAATCATGATGATCATAGAAAGCCTAGAGCATGCATGGCCCGTCAGGCACTCTTCCATCTTGCTGCACCCCCACAATGTGTGGCACTATCATGAAATTGCACACAACAGGTGCCTAGTAAATATGGATGGGAGAGTCTGGGGTGGCACTTCTTCAACTTGCGTGTGCACAGGGATCATCTGGGGAGCTGCCCTTTGTTAAAATCCACATCCTGATTCCACAGGCCTGGGCTGGGACCTGGGATTCCACACCTCAACAAGCTCCAGGTGACAGATGACACTGGTCGGCAGACCAGGCTCAGTATCAAAGATCTAGATCATGGAACCCATCATTAAATAAGACACATCCAGGACCCTGCAGGATGGAGGCAGGGGTGGAAAACACCGGGGAAAAGTAACTCCCCTCTTACGCGGGCCGGGAGAGGAATGCAGAGCCTCGGGACTGACATTCTTTGAGGGGGTGATGGCGAGTCACCCAAGGAAACGTTTAAAGTGTCATTGGAACAGTCTGTCTTTGCGTCCCCAGGAAAGGGGCAGCGCAAACACTTCCCAATACTCAGGTTGGGACTTCAGATTGGCACCATGCATCTGGGCTGAACAGGAGCCCAGCAATGACTGGCAAGTCACCTGGAGTCTGCTGTCCGAGGAGGGCTGTGACACTGTCCCCAGGTGCCACAGGTGCAGATGGAAGCAAGGCCAGCTCCTCTGGACAGGAAGGATGTGCAAGGGCAGTGGCAGGAGGTGGGGTCAGATGGCACTGGGTTCAAATCCAGCACCACTGCAAGCTGTTCGGCCCGTGGCTCGTCACCCAGCCTGTGTTTCTGTCTTCTCAGGATGGCTGGACACAGTACCAACTTCACAGTCTTGATCAGGAAACAGAAACCCCCAGAGAACTGAAGACAGCGACTTTAAGACAGGAAATTGGTTTAAAGGCAATGGGCCCAGCCCCAGGGAGGAGGTCTTACAGCAGCCCAGGGGTTGGCCCCCAGGTGGGGCTGGGACCACCTGGTGGCCCAGTGGGCACACACAACCCTAACCAGGATGCTATTGGGGGCAGAGAGGAAGAGGAGCAACAGTCCTTCTCTCCATTTTCTCCCACCCTCCACTGTGTGGCCATCGTCCCCTCGATGCTGGATGGAGGCAAACTGGGAGATGCAGTGGGAGGGGTCACCTTCTGTGATGCAGGGCAGAGTGGGCAAGGGGGAGAATTGGCTGTGAGGGTCGCAGGCTCAGGACCTTTCCACAGGCTGCAGGACCCAGTGGGAAGATGCCTGGGGCACATCGTGTGGCACATCAATCGTCAACCTTGCGGCTTGTCCTGTCCCCTGGAAGCAGTCAGCCTCCTGGGTCAACCATGTCTCCCGGGGTGACACACCAGTCAGCAATTTTTCTCTCTCCATCCCTATGTATGTGGGGACTACAGGCTCTGTAACTCTGAGAGCCTTCTCCACTGGCCACTTGGGATCCTGGGACATGTAGGAGGGGCCACCAGGGGCCAGAAAAAGTGGCTCAGGCTGGATAGAGGGACTCTGGCCACGGTGAGGCCCTGGACAGGCTTTTCTCTGTTTCCTTTCCTCACTTAAAATGCAGTTATCTTTCCAGAACTGTCCTCCGCGCTAGGACAGTGACAGTGCCCCAGGCTGGTGAGTGAAACAGACCTGTAAATTAACATTCCCGCTGGGGTTATCTTGTCAGAAGCAGAGCCTGTTTCAAAAACTCATGTGGAAAGAGGTTTTTCTTGAAAGGGATCAGAAACTCTTACGGGTTCAGGAAGGCCACCTACCTCAGGAGGACGTGGCCACCTTTGCCTCTGTCTCTCTGTACAAATTACATGGTGCACTGTTCCTGCTCCCCCGTGTCTCTCTGTGACTGGTGACTTCCCCAGATGTCAGCTGAGGCAGACCTTGAGTCCTTGCGGCCATGCAAGTCCAGCATATTCTCACCAACTAGCTACGCTCACTGGCCTCTCAGGCTCAATTATTGGAGAGAACCCAACCTGACCGGCTCCCTTGAGTCAGACTCCACGTCCCACCAGGTGGCTGGACAGCGAAGGGTCCTGCAGGCTGCCCTGGGAGGAGCAGGTTCTGGCAGGGCAGGCAATGAAACATGCTTCCTGCCAGAAATAATTGCAAATCTTGCCTCAGGGAAAAATTGGATGCGGAAAAGCATTTAAAAGGATAATAGCGACCATTTATCAAGCCTTTCTGTGTCAGATGCAATATAAGCGCTTTTTATACGGTTACCTCTTTAATCCTTGCTGTAACCCTCAGAAGCCTGCATTGTAATTATCCTCATTTTAAAGATGGGGAAACTGAGGCACAGGAGGCTGAGTAAATTGCCTGAGGTCTGGTGGGTGGAGGTAGCCACCATGGGCTCAGCTCATGTCCCTGGGTCACTGGCCTGAGTTCTGGAGAGCAGAGGCCTGCTGGTGAGGACTCTGCCTTCCCACCACCTCCAAGAGGGCTCTGCAAATGAACATCGGCCTCCCCGTGGCCACACAGGGGACCTGATGCCTTTGGATAGAACCATTCCCTCTATCGTTTTGCTAAAGGATTTCAGATATACAGAGTTAGGGGCTGGTGTCCCCACTGTGTGACTCTCCATCACCATCCTCCTTAGAAGTGATCGTGGTGGTGTCTCCTTCCTGGTGGTGTCTCTCTCCCCTCCACCTTTGGCTTCCTCTCCAAGGTAAACAACAAAGACTCTTCCTGTGCACCTTGCATATGTTTAAATACATATTGTTTTTGAGAAGTGTTCATTTATTTAAAAAAAAATTTTAGGTGATAAATAACAGGCTTTATTTCATTAACATAAAAACTTTTTAAAGCTCTATTTTAGAATAGATTTGGAATAGAATGAAACGTTGTGAACACAGTACAGAGGGTTCCTCTGTGCCTCACTGTTATTAATATCTTGTGTGTGTTAGTAGGGTACATTTGTCACAGTGAAGGAATAAGAATAGTGACATATTGTTATTAACTGAAGTCCATATTTTATTCAGATTACCTTCAGTTTTATTCCACGTTTTTTATTGGCACATTAGTTGTACATAATGATGGGACTTGTTGGCACCTATTCATACGTGAACACGACATAACAATATTATTTGGCCAATGCCACTCCCCAGCACTTCCTGCTCTTGGTTTAATCAATGTCTTGTTCTGTTCCAGGGTCCCATCCAGGACACCACATTTCCTTTAGTGACCATGTCTCTCTGGCTGTGATGGTTTCTGGGCCCTCCTCATTTTGGAAGACCTGGACGTCTTGACGTGCACAGGTCAGCTGTTTGTGGACTGTTTCTCCGTGGGGCCTCGCCTGATGCTTTTCTCGTGATTACACTGGGTTTGGGGCAGGAGGACACATGGTAAAGCACCATTCTGCTCACATCCCATCAAAGACCTCCTCGACCGCAGGCTTGACTTGTGACTGCCACCTCTGCCCCGTGGCCCCACGGCCTCCTCTTTTGTCACATCTCCCCTGTGTATCTCTTACAAGGACACTTGCTCTGGACTTAGGGCCCACCACGGTGATCCAGAATGACCTCATCTCAAGACCCTTACCATTCCATGAAGACCCTTTCCCCAAGGACTTAACATTTACAGATCCTAAGAATTTGGATGTGGACATTTTTCTGAGGTTGGGGGTGAGCAACATTCAATCCACTACAGCAACCTGACCATTTCTTTTTCCATGGGTCACGATTTTGATTTTAAGCTCATCCCCAAACCTAAGGTCATTTAGATTTCCTCTAAACGTTTTTTTTTTTTTTTTTTTTTTTGTGGTGCAGGGGATTGAACCCAGGACTTAGGTATGCAAGGCAAGCACTCTACCAACTGAGCTATATCCCCAGTCCTCCTCTAAAAGTTTTGTAGTTTGCACTTTACATTTAGACTTATGATCCATTTGAATAAACTTTTGTGTAAGGTGTCAAGTCTCTGCCTAGGCTCAATTCTTAAAAATATGGATGTCCATTTGTCCATCACTGTTGTGGGAGGGATTACCCTTTCTGCATTGAATTGCCTTTGCACCTTTGTCAAAACTCCATTGAATGGATTTGATCTCTCTTTTATTCCATTCATCTATGTTTCTGCTCTTTCACTGTTACACGTAGCCTTGGTTGCTGTGGAGCGGTACAATTTCCCACTATCTCTCTTCCATCTCTGGTGACATTGCTGTCATTCATTTCCTCTACTCAGACACTGTACTTACATGGCAAGTTATGACTACGATCATTGTTTTAAGTAGTTGTCTTTTAGATTAATTAACAATAAGAAAAATAAATGATGTTATTTATGTTTCCCTCATTTATTCCCTCTGTGCTCTTCCTTTCTTCATATAAAAACCAAATTTTCGATTTACATCATTTTTCCTCCAGCCTAAAGAAACTCTATGAACATTTCATGTAGAATATGTTTCCCTCAGTTCTTGTTTGTCTAAGAAAAATATTTATGTTTCACTTTTGAAGGATAATTTTGCTGGATATAAAATTCTAGGTTGGTGCTTTTTCCCTTTCAATGCTTTAAATATCTTACTCCACCCTCTCCATGCAGCCCTGTTTATGTTGAGAAGTCTTCCCACATGGGAAGACATTTCACTCCATTCTGGCTTCTTTCAGGATTTTCTCTTTGTCTTTCTGTGGTTTGAACATGATATGCCTCGGTGTGGCGTTTTCTTCATTTGTTTGTTTTGGTATTTCTTCTGCTTGGTATTCTCCAGGTTTCCAGGATCTGTGGTTTGGAAGGTCATGGTTGTTATTAGTTCAAATACCTCCTCGGCTCCATTTTCTTCTTATCTCCCTGGCATTCTAGTTATGCATATACTGCACTTTTTCATATTGACCCACAGTTCTAGGATGTTTTGCTTTGTTTCAGTCATTTTTTTTCTTTGTATTTGGGAATTTTCTACTGATCTATCTTGAAGGTCCCTGATTCTTTCCTCCGCCATGTTTATTGTTCTGATGACTCCATGAGGGACATTCTTCCTTTCGGTTACAGTGTTTTTCATTTCTAACATTCCCTTTGGATTTTTTCCTTAGAATTTCTCTCTCTTTCTCATTACGTTATACATAGTCCTTATACATTGTCTACCTTTTTATTCACTGGAGACTTTAACATATCAGTCATATTTATTTTAATTTTTCTGTCTGATATCCAACATCTGTCATATCTGAGTCTGATTCTGATGATTGATTTGTGTCTTCAGATTGTACTTTTTCTTGCCTTTGGCATGTCTTGTCATTTGGGGTTAAAAGCTGGGTATATATTGCATTGGTCAGTAGAACTGAAGTAAGCCGGCAGTTGGCCTGAGGATTTCTGGTCATCTTTCTGGAGCTGGGTGGTGTTTAATGTTTAATGCAGCTGTGTGCCTATAGCCTTGTTTTGGTCTCCCCTTGCCTGGGCTTTCTCAGAAGACATCTGTCTTGCGTCTTTTTCAGCTACAATCGACCATTATCATATTGGCCTCTTGGTGTGGTGGCCTTACTTCTCATTAGCTTTTTGACTTCCAGCATGTTTTCTCACTGAACCTCTTTCCTCTCTATAAAATAGGAATAATATCCCCTTATAGAGCTGGGCTGAGGATGAAGTGGAATCCTAAAGCTAAACTCTGTGCCTGGGACAAAGACTTGAATTTTGGTTGAATCAATGGATTTTTTTTTTTTTTTTTTTTTGGCTCTAAAGTCTCTAATTTACTTATTTGGTTGGATGGTGACCCAGACTATTGCTTTGTGTCCCTCAGAAACATAGTTAGAACTGGAGCACATCTTTCAGCATCCCAGTGGCCCAGCTGTATGGATGTTGCAATAGACAAATATCTTAAAAATAAATGAAGGATGCCCTCCAGGTACCCCAGATGCTTTAAGCAGCACCTAATGACATATTTAAGTGCAGGACCTGCCGGAACCAGAGAAAATAATAACCTCCCTAATTGCAAACCAGCCCAAGATACATTCTCTCAAGTAAATACTACAACCTTCAGAAGCATCCTAATTAGATATTTACCTCTGTGATTCCAGCGGCTTCACCTTGCTCTCCAGGGAAGTATTAAGCCTCATATCAGGACTAATAGGACTGAAAAACAAACTAGCACCAAGAAAATAAATGGTGTCAATAATTTTTCCCGAGAAGGTAGAGGGCTGGGGCTCTAGGAGCAGGAGCATCTGGCTAGCCCCAGGGTTGCATGTATGGAGACAGTGTCCCCCAAGAGAGCCACAGGTCAGACTGGAGGCCGCCCCCTTCCTCACCCTCCAGAATTAGGATGGGGGCTCTGCAGGGGCAGAGCCTCCATCTGGTCACAGATGGCTGACACAGCTGGTGTACCAGCTGGGGTTCCAGCCACCAGGAGTCACTGGGTTGGTGGTGTGGTGTGTGAAGAGGTCCTGTTTGTGTCCTTCTCCCAGTTTGTTGTCCCCGGGTCACCAGCAGTCCCTCGAGAGACAAGGGAGCCTCAGGCAGCCTCACTGGAAGTAAGAAGCAGCCTGTTCCCTTCCCACTCTTTCTTCCTCCGTCTTCCTCATCTCCCCATCGCCTCCTCCCTCCCTCTCCCCATTTCCAATGGCTGTCCTCATCCTCCCCACCCCCACCCCCACCCTCTGTCTTCCTCTTTCTCTCCTCCCTCTGCTGCCCCTCCTGCTCAGGATCCTGGGAAGACCAGACCCATTCTCAGCCCCCATGGCAATGTCCCCTGGCTGGGCAGTGGCACCTGCCAGGGGCAGGCTCCTCCATGCTGAGAAGTGGTGACAGTTGGGGAAAACCGACCACAGTTTCTCACCGGGAACTGGCAGGAGCTCTGCTCTTGAACTGTGTCCTTTCATGGACAGGAACCATCACGGAGCCTCAGGACCAAGTCATCCAGCCTCCTGGCTAACGATCTCCCGGAGTGCCCAGGGCTGCCCCTGAGATCTCCCAGATGACACTCCCAGAGGAGGAGGCTGAGACCTCCCCAGCACTCAGGGGCAGCAGCAGTCACCCTCAGCAAAGGGGCCCGGAGCTCCTGAGTCTCCTGGTCTTGACTTGCTCTGCAGTGGCCCACAGAGTCCGCCCCTTTATCTTCGCCCGCAGAGCCCTCCCTGTGCAGCACGAGGCCTGTGCCAGGCTGGGTGGAGTCCAGGACCGTAGAAGTCGCCTGGTTCTTGGCTTCTTAACCTGGGTCTGTTGCCTGGGGGTTCCTGTGGTTTGCCGTTGAGGTGCCAGCAGGGTCAGTTTCTCCTGTGGCCTCAGCATGGCACCGGGCAGTGCCCTCTCTGTCCTCACATGGTCTCCTCTCCTAATCTCCTCTCCCTGTAAGGACACCAGTCACATTGGATTAGTGCCCAACCCACGTGACCTCGTTTTGCCTTCGTGGCCTATTTAGAGGCCCTGTCTGCAAACACAGCCACTTTCTGGGATCCTGGGGGTTAGGAATTCAACATGCAAATTTTGGGGGATGCATTTGAACCCATAACAGGGCTCATGGATACAACTGGGGGGAGAGTGGAAGGGGGAAAATCATGTTTTTATTTTCACTAACCTCTAGCTGAAGTGTGGCATTTCCTTCCTCCAGGGAAAATGGGGACAATAAACCCTATGGCATTAGTGGCACCTGTGACATTGTCATCCACAGAAATCACAAATATTTTCATATGAAATCATGATTGTCATAGACATCTGAAATATTGTTTATATTTATAACCTCTTTCCTTTGAAATTACAGTTTATATGTCTATTGCTGGGTCTTGTTCTTTATTACATTTATTAAGAAGTATATATATTATTATATAACAAATTTATTTTGCCAACAGTTGATAATTCTATGGCAGCATAACTGGTTTCCCTTGTATATTCTGATATACAAGGGAAAGATGCATATACAAGTTTCAAGATGCCATTCTGAGAAGGGTCCATAAGCCTCACTAAACGGCTAAGGAAATCTTTGATACATAAAAGAGCTCTGGACCTAGTTCAAGCCTTCATTTTTTTTTTTTTAATTAAACAAGGGAGGAAATGGGGGCCCAGAGAGGGTAATTCACTTGTCTGCGGGCACATAGCTGGTTATAGAAGGCTGGCATTAAGAACTCAGGCCTCATGATTCCTAGGCCATGGCTTGGTCTATCACGCTTGGCTAGTAGTTTTGCATAATGAAGACTGGTATAAAATTATTAGCCATGATATGAATTTTCAAAACACCTTGGGTATCCCCTTTCATCCCAGGTACCCAGCCTGCAGAGTTATCTTTTTCTCTAACAGCCAAGTCGCCTCGTCCTTTTCTGAGAGGCCATTCTTTTCATTACTTCTACCCCTGACACACGAGGGAATATCTGGAGAATTGTAACACATTCTAAAAATGGGTCCTGGTTTAGCCTGACCTCGCCATTCGGGGGGTGCCCATCCTGTCCCGGCTTGCCTAGGATTTTGCCAGTTTTAGTGCTGAAAGTCTCCGTCCTGGGAGACTCCTCATCCTGGGCAAACAGGGGAGTCTGGCTGCCTCCCAGCAGCCTCCCCATCTCCTCCACCTCATCAGGCCTACGCAGGCGGGTCCCTCTTTGCTCCTGCTGATTTCTCCAAAGTTCCACTAAAACCAGGCTGCCTCTTGCTCTGTAATTTCCCTGAAGACTCGGGGATCATCCTGTGGGAAGGAGAATATAATGTCTGACAGTGGTGTCAGGCTCCCCACTGCTCAGTACCCTTGCCTGGCGGCTGGCTGCCTCTCCTCGGCCCTCACCAGCTAGTGTTAGGTGTGGGTCAACGAACGTGTGGCCTGTGCTGAGGTCACCCTTCTCCCTCTTGGGGTCCAGGCCTCTATCACCCTCCCCTCTTCTCCACCAATATCCCACAGTTCCTCAGAGGCCCCTGGTGCCCAGCTGCTGTAGCGTGACGCAGGGTAGCCTGGCTTCTAATTCTCGCCTTCCCCAACCTGCCTTTCCCTCTGCGCAGTGAGAACATTCATTGAAGTAGTTTCCTTAAACAATTAGCGCTTCTTTCCCTCCAAAGGTGACTTCTGCAGCCAGTCCTGGAGCCAGGCAGCATGAAAATTGCAGTTCATGCTGCTTGTGAACCCTGGGGCAGCAGAAAAGACGTGTTCCTCATTGTTGCAGGCGTGACTTTATTCACTGGAGACGTGTTGGTGGAGGCCCACCCGGGGCCCACACTGAGCTGGGTCGTGAGATGTGGAGTTGGGCCAGATCACCCTGCTCTCTCACGGGTCTCTGAAGGTCAGTAAAGGACATGGACTGCCACAGAAACCAGCACGGGAAATGTCGGCCTCATATGGCACAAACCGCCAGGTGTTGGGTGAACTGTGTGAGGAAGTGATCAGTCTACCCTGACGAGGGGGTGGACGGCAGGGAGGAAGTGGAGGGAAGGTTTAGACTTGAGGGGAGTGTTTGTTCCAGCAGCTGGAAATGCACCTTGTCCCATCAGAACCCTTGGCTCAGAACCTCTGGAACAGGCCCACCAATCTGTGCTAGCAAAGTCCCCTGAAAGTTTTAAGGCCACTCAAATTTGAAAGCTGCTTGTGCACGCCCCTCCCAGTGCCCTTTACAGTCCCTCATCGCTGCCCCTTCTCTGGAGAAGAGCTTCCTGGCAGCAAGCTGCCTCGTGGGGACTTCCCACCCGCCCCACAGATCCTGGCCAGTGGCTGCCATGGCTACAAAGAGCTGCCCCCTTGGCTTAGCCCTGTGTAGGGGGTTAGTTGTGGGGTCAGCTCATGGTCCAGAGCTCCTTGGGTGCTCAGGTGGATGCTGGCCCCGAGTTCAGTCCATGGTCTTCTTTTCCCTCCTCCTGCCTCCCTCACGCTGATTTTTCTGGAGACCGTCCAGTAAACTCCTGAACAAGAAGCCCCACCCCAGCTCTGCTTCTCAGATTCACCAAGGAAGCAAAGTTGAAACAGGGCAGGGGTCAGACAAAACTTGCCAGTCAGAAAAGCAGAGAAGGACATTCAGGTGGGGGGTGAGTCCTCCCGGGAGGCCGGGAGACTGTCCTTTTATACGGCTGGAATGCGGGTGCCCGCGGGAGTGAGGGAGCTGGGATAGAAGGTCAGGGGCAGCCAGAGCCTGAGAACTTTATCAGCCATAAAAAGGCTTGGTATGCCATGGGCGGTGAGCGGGGCGCCCCTGAGAGATGAGGCAGGATCTGGGGCAAAATTTGATTTGTATTTTGGACAAATTACTTTGGGCACTGGGGAGACGGGTTCGAGTGGAGCCAGAGGAAGCAGAAGCCATTTAGGAGGAACATTCTGCAGTGCCATGCTAAATCATGAGGCAAGACCTCAGGGACAGGCAGAGGGTCAAGAAGAGAGAGCTCCTGGGAGATGCAGCTGGTGGAATTAGGCAGGGGTGGACCTAAGGGTGGACCTGCCTGGGTGGGGGTGGCTGACAGCTGGAGGGCTGAACTGAGCCCTGGTGGTGGAGGGGAACACGGGCTCAGTGGGAAGTCTGAGCTTCGCAGGGCACTTGGGGAGTAGAGGGCCCCACTGGGTGGCTGAGGATGTGCATGGGGCAGAGAGGTGGCACTTGGCTTTCTGGGGGTCGAGTAAGAAGGGGGGCAAGTTGGAACCCTCGGACAGTCAAGACTTAAGCAGCAGGTGGAAGACAAGAGGGAGGAACACAGCTGTAGCTTAGGAGCTGGCCCAGTGTGCTGTCGTGGAAGTCAGGAACACAGAGTACAGGGACAGTGGCCATTGGAGTCACAGCCGTCCCCCAGTAGCAGTCATCCGCAGATACAGGCACATTTCAGTGACAGGGGAGCAAGGCTTGGGGACCCAGCAGGCTGCGGAGTGAATGAGGCCAGGGAAGGGTAGAGGGGCTAGGAGGTGGCTCTAGTGAGAAGTCCACGCCCCTCCCCTCCCCCACACCGCCTTCTCAGCTCTCCCTGGGACCAGCAGAACGCCATCATGTCATGCAGGACAACTGGTTGCAGCTGGATTCAGCCTGTGCATCAAACTGAAGCAGAGCCACCTGGTTTCTGAGGGTGACTTCCACGCATGCATCCCCAGCTGCAGCCACTTGAGCCCCCTGCAGCCGGTGGTGGACACAGGCAGAGAACACATTCCTAAAATTCTCACCCTGGCACCTGGGCGAAGTATCTGTAGGTCCATGTACCTGGATGAAGGGCCATCACTTAGCACAGCTGATGGGATCGGAACTCACATTTTCACCTATGGAGATGCAGAACACCCTCCAAGGCAGATTTTGGCCACGCTTTGAAAGAACGGTCTCATCAATCACTTCTGATTCCCCGGCTGCTTAGTGGAGCCGTCAATCATGATAAGCTCTCTGGACCTTACTGGGAAGGTCATCAGTTTGTAGGATTCTGCCTGCAACTGGCTAGAAATAACAAGACTATTATTTTGACGTTACTGGAGCTGGGATCTTTCCCCCGTGGCTTACACATCTGGGAGACCCTCATCTTGAAAGCACTTCACCTTCTCTTCCACCAAAGAAGGGCACTTTCCCTCAGATTGGGGTGGGGGGTGTAAAGCTAAGTCGAGATGCCTTTACACAGAAAAATTAGGGGTTGGCCTTAATTACAGGTGTTCCAAACTCTTTTGCAAATGCTGCAACATGCCTCTCCTGATGTTGAATGTTTATCTTCGCCCCCAGGCCTTGGGCTTCCGGAGGGATCTGACGAATCACGGGGGAACTTTCTGTGGCTGCGGTACTAGTAATCTTTGTGACCTGTGAAGTGGCCTTCTTAAATCATAAAGCAGAGATAAAAATAGCACCCAGCATTGAAGACCTTTGTCTCCCAGGATTATTCTCTTTGATCAAGAAAATCTGTGAATAAGAAGAACAGGTGTATATATCCCAGTTCAGTCCCTAAAACGAGCATTCCCTGGCTCGTGGAAGGCTGAGGGGTGAATGAGGGGCTTCAGGAGTGGGAGGGCAGGGAGCTGGGAGCAAGAGAGCACCTGGGCCCGCACTCGGTGGGGAGTGGGACAGGGTCTGCAGCGTGAAGTCTGGCTTTGATCAGCGGCACCACAGGTGACCAGTGAGCCTTGGCTTTCACCTTGAGTTAAATGAATCCTCCCCACACCTCTCCCTTCAGCCCTCTCTTATTGCTAGCCATCTGGCCTGTTTGAGGATAACTGCCTCCCTGTCACGTTTCTACTTTGGGCTCCTTCCCCCTGGGAGTGACCTGGTAGAGTATGTGGATATGCAGGTGGGACGGGGCCAGGGGTGAGACCCAGGACTGGAGTAGACCCCTCTCATGGCCTGGGCTACACCCTCAGGAGAAGGGGGACTGGAAAGCCTGGGGACAGTGTCTGCTGGCTCCTCCTCCGTGC